AAAGCATCATTTAGTCCCCAAAGCTGACCTACTGCATTAATTGCATATTATAGTTATACAGAAAAGAAATAAAAGATTCTTTGCCAAAGTGAGCTCTATCAAATGTTGATCCTTGGGGCAATTCTCCCTTGAAGATTTGAGCAAATGAATTGCTTGAACTTGATGGCCTGTGGCAAAAAGTGGGATGACCTATTGTCCAAAGCATCTGAGGGCAGGACAAGAAGTAACTGATGGAAACTTATCAAACCGAGAAATCCAGAACTAGGACTAGGGAGGAATTTCCTAAGTGTGAGAACAATTCATCAGTGCAATCCATGCCAAATTTAAACCAAGATCCTTTGTTTTCGACATGACGTGGTTGTAATCTGGACCAATCGTTTATTTGTAACCAAGATGAATCTCGCAGGGAAAGATCACAACAACCAAAAATGAAAGAAACTGTAATCTAGCAAATATCATTGATACCAGTTTGGTGAAGATGACCTAAATTCCAGGCTCCTCATATTTATGTCAACATCTTCAGAAAGACTTTCGTGACATTTGTATTCTTAAAAATAAATGATTTCGTAGTCTTAACATCATAATGTTGCTGGCTGAGGGAATGTTCTCCTTGACTATCCCAAGTTGGCGAGTCAACTTGGGATAGTCCGTGTAGTAGAATAATTGTCCACGTAGTCCCCCTTTCTTCCATAACTTCCCACATGTAGGATCTCTGTCTTTCATAACTCAACCACTGCTCCAACAGAAGTCAATATTTACCACAAAAGTTGAACGCTTCGGCTAATGGGGATTGCCAGTAACACCTCTGTACACCGCTCAACTGCCGGTTTGGGGGGGGAAAAAGAATGAAATATATTTTTGTTTTGGATTCTTGGAAGCTTCCCAATTTCGTACAGTAAGAAAACGGTTTTAATAGTTAGACAGCTTGCATGCAAATAATAGCTATGGGCTCGGTTCCTGTAGGACATATCTACAGTTTGTGCTTCTGCCAGTTAAAAAAATCATTCCTTCATAGCCTAATATTTCATATGTGGGCTTCCAAGAAGAAGAGAGCAGCTGTCGCACAGCCAAGTCCAAATTAGATTTGTTGATGCCATGTTGTTTGCTAAGTAACCGTGTCTCTCAGCTATCTTTAGGCTCAAGGGAACCATAGTAAAAAAACCCAGATATTACAATTGTTTCTAATATCCCTGGCTCACTTGTTGAGGAGGTCGCTTACTGGCTTTGTGAAAGTCAACAATATTGGCCTTCTTCTCAGAACATATGACCCATTCACCGTGACTTCCCTGTGGTTTTGAAGGCCTCCTCGAACAAACCAGTTATTGTTGGTCCTTTAGTTTGATTTGAAACCAGAAGTGATGATGACTTAGCAACCCTCAACTCAGAGTAACCTTGGTAGCTTGCCTGGTTAAACAGGTCCAGGCAGAACTTAAGCTGGTGTTGATGTTACCAAGGGAAGGGAGAGGAAGACACAGGAGATATGGAAGTTGTTTCTAATTGCTGCATTAATTTGGAGAACCGTTTGAAGCCGGATTACAGGAAGCGTCTCTTATTATGCCTATGGTGCATCTTAAACTGCTTTAGTTTAAAAACATAATTTGCTAATTGTAGATTTGCTGTTTTGCAAGTTGCTTTATGCATTACAAAGCAATTGTATACTTCTTCCAAAACGTCTTTTGACTTTTGAAGAAGTAAGAAGTAATCCAGCTGGGCAGGAAAGCGTTTTATATCACTTTCTAGATAGGATGCTGAAATCATCCTTGTAGTTGAAGTATTAGGATGCTTACGTATTTGCTTAGGAACAGCCTTTCCCAACCTGGTGACTTCCAGATCTCTTGGGACTCCATCTCCCAGGCTTCCCTATCTACTATGACTTACCGGGTCCTCCAGAACTTCTAGGAAGTTTATTTCTGTGAAGATTTATTTATTCATTTATTGGTTCGATTTATATGCCGCCCTTTTCCAGAGACTCAGGGCAGCTTACAATGCATTAAGCAACAGCCTTCATACTTTTGTATATACCTGCTTAGTAGGGCTTTCGCCCCCCCCCAGCGGTGTTCTTTTTTATACAAAGTCAGCTTATTGCCCCCACAATCCGAGTCCTCATTTTACCTACCTCGGAAGGATGGAAGGCTGAGTCAATCTTGAGCCTGGTGAGATTTGAATTTGCAGTAATTGCAGGCAGCTGGTGTTACTTAACAGTGCTTTAGTCTGCTGCACCACCAGGGCACAGCTTTAGGGTAAGGTGTAATATTTTCATATTACAGCCATGCAGGTTATTACAATTTTACTGTAGAATTCCTGGCCAGGGTACATTTAGAAACTGGTTCTCCAAGTTTGCTGACCTGATGAATTTGAAACAAAATTCAAGCCACGTTTAGCTTGTTGTTTGAGCACCAAAACCTGCCCCTAGTTTTGGAAGTGATTTGTGAGCTTTGTCGTTTGGACAGATTCACATGCCCTGTGTATATTTGTGTGCTTTCCTTGCAAAAGCACTTTGTCCCACTCTTCCAATCAGGTTTCGAAAGCTGTGTTTTTCCGTTGTTAAAATTGTGGTTGGGTGGAAGATAATGGACCTGGATTGTAATTGAAAGCAGAGTTTGAAAGCTGCCATTAGCTGTAGTGTTTCACCAGTTTTAGGACAGATGGTAAAGGAGGACATCTTTTTCCCGCTGTGATGCCTGCACCAGAAATGCTTTCTTCTCCAGTGAACACCTCCGTTTCTGAGACCGAATTAGAACAACTGGGAGTGATGTTGTTTTCTTAATCATGGGTTTTGCAGCCTGCTTGGCATGTTGGTGAAAGCATCATGGAGATCTTTCAGATTATTCAAACATCTACTCTTGCTTTTGTATTGGAGGTGAATATTGGCCTTCCTTTCGCTTTAATGCTATTTTCTCTAGACTAGGTGTGTATGCTCCCCTTAAAATTATTTTTTCCCTGGTTCCAGTGCAAAACAGGAGTGGGGTGTTACTCTACTCTTGGGGCTTTAATTATTTGCACAATTGTAGGCTTCCCTTTCAAGTTCCCAACTGTTCTGTGCAGCTTTTATTTTTCTCTTTGCATGTAGCCTCATTTGCATTTATCTTTATTGGGTCCATTTACACATTCCATTTATTTCACCATTATTTATTGGATATACCATAAAATGGGTTATCGCCACACGCGCTGAGCCAAAAATCTAAGTTTGATGGCAAGTCCAAATCAAGGCAAGGGACTTCAAAATTTTTGATACCGCAACCACCTAAAATGATCAGTGAGTTTGTGTAACTGCTAAATGACTAAAACTAAGAAAATGGATGTGGCTGATGGGTGATTTTGGCACTAACCAAAACTAGTAGCTATCTGACTAGTTTTGTAAATTTATCCTTCTCTCGAAACTAACTTTGGGAGCGAACTCTGCCAGTATTCCCCATTTGCCTAGGCAAATCTGATCAGGTTTAACAAAAACCTTGCGAGTCTTTTCTAAAATCCCCACGATTCCTTTCAAAGTCATGACCCACACTTTAAGAACCCTTGAATTGCTCAAACTTCTCTCACGGCTAAACATTCATTCATCTAATAAAACAGAAAGGTGGAGACTCAGGAGCTGTATTCTTACAACTCAAAATTAAAACAACACTTCCTTTTCTTTTTAAAGGATGCTGGACAAATTTATGAAAGATAAAACTGTCTCTCAAAATGTCAGCAGGTTTCCCTCGTAACATTTTAATATATTTGTATTCTGTTTCCTAATACTTTACATTTTAATTGAGGTACAGTTTGTTTTAAGTGCAAATCCTTTGGAATGCGTAGCTCTTTTCTCTCCCCTGTTCCTCCAAAGTTTGTTGTTGTTTTAATTCACACAATGAGAATTCCCAATTGGGATCTGTACTGTCCTCTGATGACCGTTGCCATTTCCTATGGCGTAAGCAATTAAAAAAGCAGCGTATATACATAAAACAAACCCAAAGCAGCAGAAAAACACAATTCAGTTGTGTTCCTGGTATTATTTAAAACAGATTTTTTTCCCCCCTCTGCAAACCTTGAAGATATATTTCTCCCAAAAACTAAGAGGAGCTGATTTCCCAGAGCAAATGCACCACTTTAAAAAAAAAAAAAAAAAAAAACATTTGGGGTTGGGCTGCTTTAGCTCTTTGCAGATTTTGCAAGTCAAAGCTGGTTTGGCTTAACATTTTGCCTTAGGTTTTCAAGCTGCACCATAAATGATATTTGATAGCTGCAATAATTGATAAATGAGAGCTGATATTCAGTATTACATCAAGGCTGAAACCATAAATGGCAGTTCAGTTACATCCAGGGCGTGACGCTTGCCTTGAAGAGTTTTCACGAGTTCCAATCAGACAGAAAATGCTTCATGAACTCTTCTCAGCTTGAAAGGTAGCTTCCATAGTTCAGGCCATTAAAACCCTAAGCTGAAACAACTTTCTAAAATACGGATTTGTGATCCATACATGCTGAGCAGTGTTTTGGTCTTTCTCTGGTGAAATCTTCCATGCCTTTCCAGAGGACGAGTGGAAAAAAAATCGGGATCTGGCAAGATAGGACTGTCTCTTTAAAACCGAAAGCTGAGCCAATTGCCTGTTTTTCCAAAGGGCGCTAAACAAAAGTTGTAAAGAAAACAACTGGGCCTTTTAGAAAACAACTTCCCTTTCTTTTGACACAATTCTCTTGATTGGTACAGTTCTTGACGTGGAAAATAAAATCTCAGTAATGTTATGCTTGGGTAAATTAGAAAACAATATCTACTTTAACAAGGAGTGCCAACTTGAAGAATTTCATAGCACCGCTGCCTAGTAATTGTAAATGCAAAATATAGCCAGGATCGTACCATGCATGACTTCTTATTATTCTATAATAGGGTGGGTAGGGAAGGGACGTCATTAGTGTGGAAGGAGGGAGGGAAAGAAACAAAATGAAAAGGAAAGAAAGAGAAAGAAAGAAAGAAAGAAAGAAAGAAAGAAAGAAAGAAAGAAAGAAAGAAAGAAAGAAAAAGAAAAAGAAAGAGAGAGAAGGAAGGAAGGAAGGAAAGAAAGAAAGACAGGGATGGAGGGAGGGAGAGGGAGAAACAAGAAAGAAAAAGAAGGATGTTGAGGTTCCTGTGAGTGTTGATAAGGGATATCTAACATTGGCAGTCATATAAAACAGTCACGCTCTTTCAGATAGTGTCATGTCTGCATGCGTGCATTATTATTATTATTTTTTTCTCCTTTCACTTTCCCCAAACACTCCTATATTCCCCGAACAAGGCTGGAGGAATCAAGAGCTTTTTATGGTATTTTTTCTTTCTCTCTCTCTTTGTCTCTTTTGAACTGTTATAGCGTTGGGTTTTCGGCCTTTTTGCAGCATGATTTGAACTAGCAACCATGGATTTTTCACGGCTTCACATGTATAACCCTCCCCAGTGCCTGCCAGAGAACACTGGCTATACTTATGCCCTCAGGTGAGAAAGCTGAACTATAAAGATCCTTTCTGTTGTTGTGTGTCTTGTGGCGTCTGTGATACGTTTGAAACCCAGGCTTGAAACTCCCAAAGTCGGTCGCAAAGCACCTTCCGTGTGCCTTCCATGTAAGAATCGAAGAGAAGCAGTTGGGAATTTGTTTTTAGGTATATTTTTACAGCAGATTCTATGGAAGCAGAAGCGATGATTAAGAAAGTGGCTCAGACTTTCATTAGTCACCATAAATCAAGAATTTTGCAACCACACCCAAACATTGTTTGGGTTGTGCATGCAAGGAGGAAGGCATGCATGAACAACCAGAGAGCTGGCATTATATAAAACCAAGTGGAAAATAAAACAATGAACAGTCCCTGCAGAGCAGCTGCATAAATCAAGGAGTTACGGATTTAAAAACATATCATTTGGGAACTATTTGTAACCATTAAAAATCCAAAAATTGCAATTCGCACTTTATGAACAGTCTGAAAGCTAAATTCAAGGTCGTAAGAATCTCTCGGTTGGCAAAAAGATACATTGGAAGTTTTCTTTATGGCTTTTCGGTTTTTAACTCAACACCATCAGAGAGTCACTGTGTGGATGAGAAGAAAGCTCTCTCAGTTTGATAAATAATAATATAATAGTTGTAACAATATAATGCCTAACGTCCTAGCTAAGAATCACAAGTGCTTTATTTATTTATTTATTTATTTGTTTGCTTGTGGCTTGTTTATTCATTTATTTTCACACCGGCAAGTCTGGGTGGTTCACCAATCCATACAAATAAAATTGTACCTTAGAATAGAATAGAATAACAGTTGGAAGGGACCTTGGAGGTCTTCTAGTCCAACCCCCTGCTTAGGCAGGAAACCTTACACCACCTTGATAAAAGCAAACCAAAGATGGTACAAAGCAGACGAAAAGGTTGGACAACCATGGTTTAAAGTAAACCAAGGCAATGGCCAGAATAAGCTTCCGGGAATGATGAACTACAAAACTTTAAAATTAAACTTCCTTCGGATAGTGATCAGCATTTGCCACTTCCCGTTTCTTCAATTATTTTAGGCAGCTTCCATATTGCAGTAGCTAATATTAAATAAATGTCAATAAATACATGTACCTGTTTTGGGAAGTTTTAACATGCAGGAAAAGCTGTATCAACTGCCATGGATACTAAAGAACTAAGCAAAGATTTATATATATATCCTGAGTTGCAAATTGCAATCTACGCAACGGACAACCCAAAACCATGTCTGTGTTTTCTTGCAGTTCAAGTTACTCGTTGACCGCCCTAGAGTTCGAGACCGCGCACAAGTTGGACCCTGTCTTTGACTCACCAAGAATGTCAAGGCGCAGCTTACGTTTGTCTGCAGCGGGTAAAGACGAAGGTCTCCTCGGAAGTGGCAGCACCTATGCTGGGAAGAAGATGTTTGCAGATCAGTCACCCCAGTAAGCATTTTGTTTGCTACTGACCATTCTGACGTTATCAATTCCTCGGTCCCGTCCCATCAAATGGTCTGTAGTTTAATGCACCGTGCATATTTCGTGGTTTCTGAACAGCACTCCGAATTTCTGGGAAAGCGTGATAGAACATCTCGCTGTGGTTTAGGCATAAAAATGGGGCAAGGTTTACACATTTTATTTTATTTATTTTATTACATTTCTATACCGCCCTTCTCCCGAAGGACTCAGGGCGGTGAACAGCCACAAGATAAAACACATAAATACAAAAATTTAAAATAGATTAAAAACGAATTAAATAATTTGGCTGAATTTAAAATACCCCGTAATTTAAAACAAATTAAAATTTATATTTAAAAGGGGAGAAGATTTAGGCCAGGCCAGTTTGATGAAATAAAAAAGTCTTAAGCGCGCAACGGAAGGTGCGCAGATCCAGGATCCTCCGTATCTCCGGGGGGAGCTCGTACATGAACTTAGTACATACATTGAAGTCCTGGGACTCAAGAAGCTTAATCTCAGATGCTGTCCCTTGATTTAGAACAGGGCTAGCCGGAGAATTCTGGGAGTTAAAGTCCACAAGTCTTAAAGTTGCCAAGGTCAGACAGATTTAGAAGTAACTTCACTTCTACCTGATTTTAGTGGGCCTCACTTCCATGTTTAAAATTTAGGACACTCAGAACTGGGGCTCCAAAATTTTCTGGCATTATTTCAACAAGTACTTCGATCTTTGATGGCTTCTGTGGAGATACTCACTTCCTGGATGGCAATATATATATATGGTATATGGCCATGATTTGACGTTTGGAGAGCGGGCCATAATTAGTTCCCATTATGTTTGATTGAGCCAGGATTCCTTCCAAAATATAACACTAAAATGCAGAATCCAAACTCTGGTTTATATTTCCCGTTCATTCCAGTAGCCAAACCAGGGGTGAAATGCTCCCGGTTCAGACCGGATCGCCCGATCCAGTACCGATAGCGGCAGGTGGTTCGGAGAACCGGTAGCAAAAATCCCTGCCCACCCCACATGCTCAGCTGAGCCGCACAATCATCAGAGGCTTTTTTTTTTTTTTTTTTTACTTTTAAAAGCATTTTTTTCTACAACCTCTTTGGCCGAAAAAATGCTTTTAAAAGTAAAAAAAAAAAAAGCCTCTGATGATTGTTCGGCTCAGCTGGGATCATCAGTGCCTTTTAAAAGCATGTTTTTTACAACCTCTTCAGTCAAAGAGGTTGTAGAAAAAATGCTTTTAAAAGAAAAAAAAAAGTTGGTCACGCCCACCCAGTCACATTAACCCCCCACCCCATCAAGCCATGCCGACAGAACCAGTAGTAACAAATTTTAGATTTCACCACTGAGCCAAACGTATACCTCTGAGACTCTTAAAAGACGAAGAGCAGGAAGGAAATGCCAATTTCTGATTTCTTCTCCTGAAACAGCCATAGTAACATCGATACTATATAGGGAGTGCTATGTTGCCTCTTTCAGTTCTCCTGCACTCACAAATGTTTTTTTTTTATTATTATTATTATTTTCCTGCATTTTAATCCTGTTGGGTTTTGCCTCTTACTCTTCCTTTTTCCGTTAAGGATGAACAAACAGCATAAAACTACAATGAGACAGTCCAGTTCGGTAAGAACCACTTCAAGGAGAAAAATGCTGGGCTCTGCTGCTTTTAGCCACAGTAGTTTCAGCAGCCGCACAAGTGATGGGTCTTATGTCTCAACCTTACTGGACGAGTCTTCAATAAAGGAACAGACGACTGTTGACCATTTCTGGGGTAGGTGCAGACTCTTAACACAACAGGCTATAACGGTATGTGTGAAAGATCCTTGGGAGATGGAGCAAAGACTGCTACCTAGGGAAAAGATAAGAGAGAACGTAGCCCACAGCTGCATAATGGGCGGATGGAGCAAGACGCTCAAAATTGACCCTCCCTAATTTCCTGGGCTGTAAAAGAGATTGTGGGAGAATTAGACTTTCAGTCATGCAAGATTCTGTTAATGTGGTTTTACCATAGAATTATCTTATCTGGTGATGCTTCCTACATTATCTGCTCTATCTAGTAAGGCTGACAACAGCACTTGTAAATTATCTTGGAAATGTGCTTTGGAACGCACAAGGGCATAGACCAGAGATCTTCAAACTTGGCAGCTTTAAGACTTGTGGACTTCAACTCCCAGAATTGGAGAATTGGCTGGAGAATTCTGGGAGTTGAAGTCCACAAGTCTTAAAGCTGCCAAGTTTGAAGACCTCTGGCATAGATTAGGGGTGGGTAACTGTGGCCCTTTTACAACCAGCTTGGCTGTCTCAGGAATTCTGGGAGTTGAAGTCCACAGGTTGTAAAAGGACCACAGTTGCCCACCCCTGGCATAGATGATAGCCCTGCCTGCAGCTCCCAAAAGCAAACTCATCTTCGACAGTCATCTTTTTCCCAGGATCAGGCCATCATTGCAGAGGGCAGCCGCATGACTCTGAAAACATTCTGAGTCAAAGTTTGGCCCCGTTCAGCCCAGTGCCCGCTTCCTCCAGTGTAAGAAGTACAGGAGTGGAGTTAATTACCAGTCTGCAGACTCTCTAAGAAATTGTTGCTGAATCATCAGGGGGAAAAAAAGTGCTTTAATATGCCACTGGGTTAGGTGTAGCATTCCCTTATCTCGGTTAGAGACACATCATTTTTATCTTTAGTAGTGTAGATTAAAGCTTACTTTGATGTCACCTAACAAGCCTGCTACTATGAGTTACTGTTACAGGGAAAAAAAAGGTAACAAAAACATGTTTTTCATTAGCTGGTCTCCCAAGAAGTCACATTGTAAAATAAACAGATTTGTGTGGCTTTTCCATCAGGAAATATAACTTGTTAGATAATAACAGAATGGCTACATTGGGTGTGGTCTTAAAAATCACCCTGCTGTTGTCTTGAATGTATGGAATCCTCCACCTCTGCTTCTCGTTTTGTGTTTTTAGAAATAGCAGAAATTGTTAGCTTGTTGACCTCCTTGGACTCAAAACAAATTATCTCTTCTTAGGTCTCGATGACGATGGGGACCTCAAAGGTAATCCGGCTTGTATGTTTTTCACTTCGATGGCTTTTCTTGCCACTCCGGTAGATTTGGTTTGGTGGACGATTATTTTATTTTTTATTTTTTTTGCCATTCAACAGGTGGGGAGACGACTTCCATCCAGGCCAATGGTGATATTGCCACAATGGAGAAGCAGGCTGAACTCAGCAATGGATACACCTGCCACGACTGCAGCATGCTTTCCGAACGGAAGGAAGCCCTTACAGCCTACTCATCATCCTCCATGCCAACCTCAAGAGTTTACTCTAGGGATCGAAGCCAAAAATACAAATCCTGTAAGTGTTCCTTCTCGCTGCTGCGTAAATAAAAGTATTGACAGAGTAAATAAAGTCACATGAATTTAAACGCGATAAAGGAGAATATTCCTGGCTCAGGCTTGAAATGAGAAGTTGGTGCTCTCTGAGCTTGGTTGTTTCCTTGCAAACATTTCATTACCCAGTTAGGTAACATCATCAGTGCTAGAAGAGAGCGGGGTTTGACCTTATAGCATTGATATTGTTCTCTAGTTTGGGTAAGGAAGCATCTGCGAGAAAACAGCCAAGTTCAGAAACCACCAAGGACTCCTCAATTTAAACTCAACTTGGCAAGGTAATTTCTGCTAAGTCTTTCAATTTCAGAGGAAGGTTTCAAATTTGCTCAGTTCCAGAATTATACTTCGACACACCATTAAGGAAAGAAGAGCTACAAATAAAACCCTGAACATCCTGTTTGTTTCCCCTTCCTTTCCCACTTGGTTTTCTACGACCGAACTCTGGAAAAAAACAGGGTTGCTTCTTGGCAGTGTGCAGGCTCATGATATTTGGCACGTCAATTTCGACATCCCGCCCTTACTACACTTGCTTTTTCCCTCCCACCCTCTCAGTCACTAGAAAAACAGAGGAAAATAATCATTTTGTCCCGATGCTTTTCCAATAGGGGGTCTCCTTTACTACCGCAGTAAGGTCCTGCAAGCAGCCAAGCACGCCACAACATCTTTCACAACTCTCATAGTACAGCTGTTTCAGATGATCTTCCTGAAACTGGGCTATGACTGTACAGGTACTTTCAGTTTTAAGCTTTTCTTAAGCTCTCTCCCTCCATGCTGCACACCTCAAAGGAAACGGTTCCGTAGTGTCTTTTCAGACATGCATCTTGCAACTTCAGGGTATCTTTGATGCCGGCTTCCTTTTTGCATTCCTTCACCTGCTTTTACAATATGCAGCACCTGGGTATTGGATCCTCCTTTTCTCCATTTCTTTCTTGCAGTGGCATGATGGATGATGTGGCTTGGAACGAAAAGAGGAATCTCGGTTATGGAACTTGGTCACTTAACCCCTTAACTATGTTCTCTTCACCTTTAAATCCTGGATTTTCTTTCTTTGGTGTTTTGTATTGGGTGGTTATATAGGGGACTCAGTGGCTCAGTGGCTAAGATGCTGAGCTTGTCAATTGAAAGTTCGGAAGTTCAGTGGTTCGAATCCCTAGTGCCTCATAACAGGGTGAGCTCCCATGACTTGTCCCAGCTTCTGCCAACCTAGCAGTTCAAAAGCACGTAAAAAAATGCAAGTAGAAAAATAGGGACCACCTTTGTTGGGAAGGGACCAGCGTTCCGTGCGCCTTTGGCATTGAGTCACGCCGGCCACATGACCACGGAGACGTCTTCGGACAGCGCTGGCTCTTCAGCTTTGAAACGGAGATGAGCACTGCCCCCTAGAGTCGGGAATGACTAGCACATATGTGTGAGGGGAACCCAGGGGTGAAATGCAGCAGGTTCTGGAGAGTGGAAATTTTGAATGGTTCGGAAAACCGGCAAATGCCACCTCTGGCTGGCCCCAGAGTGGGGTGAGAATGGAGATTTTGCAGTATCCTTCCCCCAGGAGTGGGGTGGGAATGGAGATTTTGCAGTATCCTTCCCCTGCCCTGACCAAGCCATGCCCACCAAGCCACACCACACCCACCAAGCCACGCCCACAGAACTGGTAGTTAAAAAATTTGGATTTCACCACTGGTAAATATGCACATCTAATTGGACTTGCCTCCCATTTCCAATAAAAGGATTGTGTTATCCCGTTTTTCTCGTCAGAACTCTGTTGGCTGAGAAGGCAAAATACTGCAAGAATATATTTTCAATAAACATGAAGGCTCGGACAAGTAGATTTATTATAGCAAAACCATGAAGCCTTTATGAAAGACTTCCAATGACTATATCAAACACAAGCTCTATTTATACCATAGTGAATATTCAAATTTCTTTCACTTTTTTTTCCTGCTTACTTTGTTCTAGGAACTATTTCTCTGGGGACCAATTCCCTCTGTTCTTTGTTTCAGTAATGACCTAATATAGTATTAGGTTGCTTACCTTTGACCAGGTGAGATCTAATTTAACACATTTCTCACTCAGGTATTGGGTGGCAAATCGCTTTGATGGATAATGTTGCTTTCCCTGCTGCTTTGTTCTTTGCTTCTGAACGTTAAAAGAAAAACTTCTAAAAAACATACTGGGTTCACCTCAAGGCTATTCTTTCTCTCTTTTTTTTTCTCTAGCACACAATACAAATTAGACTCATTTTATTTATTTTTTTCTCTCTCTCTGTTGCAGCTCACTCTAATTACTGTGGAAGCATGAATGTAAAAGAATTTCTCAGGGATGAAAGCCACTTGGGTATGAACGGAGAGTCCATGTGTAAGTACAGCTTCCCATTGTTTAAGAAATAAGCCCTGGTTAGAATTCCACGTGTTGCATCCATGTTCCATTGGTCTTGTGGAAGCTGGAAAAACTTTGCATGCTGGTTGCGATTCAGCAGCATGTTGTACTTTCAGGGAGCTTCCATTATTTGCTTGATTTGTCTCGTGCACAACCCAGAAAAGCAGATATATTTTTTTTATAGACATGCAGCCATCTATGAGATTTAGTTTTGAAGGGCACCTAAAGCCAAAATTGCCTGCCTGAAGCATGGAAGTTGTCAGCAACCCAGAAGCAGAATTTGTGATATGCCTACATGGGTCAGAAAAATCTTGGACTCCTGCCTGCTTGTCCTCCACTCCATTGGTGATCCCCAGTTGGGTACAGGCCTTCCAGATTCAAACCTTCAAAGCTCCTAATCCCTATTTCGAGACCAAAAACAAGGTTTGAATTCAACACAGCTATTTCAAACCTGGAACAAACCAAAAAAAAAAAAAAATTCAAACTCGGATAGGCAACTCGAATTCAACACTTCACCCTGTTTTGCATCCCTTTGCTGCCTCCTGCATTGGCAACATGTACTGGGGGGTTGGGAAGGGGTTATCGATTGTCTTGTTGCATGCAGTGTGTGGCACTGCCTCAGCAGTGGCCGTGTTCACAAACACCCCTATTAAGATTTAAGGACTGTTTGGAAAGTACTGTATTTTTCGGAGTATAAGACGCACCTACCTTTTTTGGTGAGGAAAAGAAGAAAAAGAAATCTCCCTCTGCCTCTGCCTCTGAGCAATTTTGCCTTATTACAGCCTGCTTTACTTTCATTTTCGTTTTCAGCATAGCTTGATTAGCACAAGAGGAAGAAAAAAAAATCTGCTCCAGCAATTTACCTCTTTGCAGCCAGCAGCAGAGCCCTGCGCAAAACAGCTGAGAGCAAATCAGCTGAGAGTCGGGAGGCCGATCCAATCAACTTGTGCTAATTAGGCTGTGCTGAAGCTGAAAGGAGCTGTTTTTTCTTGCTGTTCGCTTGCAAGGAGGTAAACTGCTGGGAGGCAGAGGCCAAAGGGTGGGGGCCAGTGGGTGGGCGGGGCTACATTCGGTGTATAAGACACACCTAAATTTTCACCCCCTTTTCGGGGGGGGGGGAAAGGTGCATCTTATACTCCGAAAAATACAGTAATTTCACTGATTTATTTATCAAATCTATTGGCCCGCCCACCTTACCGCAGTCGTTTTCGGTACTGAAAGTTGGTCTAGCCGTATTGCATTGCGCAATTGATTGATGAGTTGATCGATGAATGTGCTCTGTATTCGTTCCTTTTACCTCCCCCAACCTGCAGGTGATGACTGTAAGGGGAAGAAACACCTTGAAACATACACAACAGCCCACTTGCAATCCTCGCGGTCCAAAAGGATAGCAAGAAGCATGTGGCACATCTTTTCATACCCAGGTTGATTTGCACCGCTTGGATTTTTTTCGTTTTCTTGCCTTTCTTGCCTCTTGGCCCTCATACATGTTGCGGGAGGAGAGCCCCCTCCCTTTAATCTACAATAGCCAAATACCCCACACCTAGAATACTGCATCCAGTTTTAGTCACCGCACTGTAAAAAAGATGTGGAGACTCTAGAAAGAGTGCAGAGAAGAGCAACCAGGATGATTAGGGGACTGGAGGCTAAAACATACAATGAACAGTCGCAGGAACTGGGCACGGCTGGTCTAGTGAAGAGAAGGACCAGGGGAGACAGGATAGCAGTCTTCCAATATTGGAGGGGCTGCAACAGAGAGGAGGGGGTCAAGCTATTCTCCAAGGCACCTATAGACCAGACAAGGAATAATGGATGGAAACTGACCAAGGAGAGGTTCAACCTGGAAATAAGGAGAAATTTTCTGACAATGAGAACAATCAACCTTTAGTTAGATGGACGTTTCTTTGTGGCCTTCGGATTTTCACCATCGTCCGAATCTCTGCTTCCTTGCATAGATTAGATTGAAGCTTCACTCGAGAATTGAGCCATTCCCCAGAAGCTGCCTGCCAACTCTAGCTGTAGATTTAGATTGACACAAACACACACGCAGCCTTACTGTTGAGGCAAGGTCATTCTTATTCTACAGTGTTGCTCAACCATTAAGAAAGCCAACCACAGTCGTTGAGTAAATGATTAAAAATAGAATAATGCATTAAAGGATTAAAAATAAAGTAATGCTTAAGGGAATCCTAGCAAAAGCATAGAGGAAGCACAGAGGAATTTAGCTTTTAGTGAAATACACCCAGATCTAGTGTAGTGAAACGAGACAGTGACATGTGAGGTCCTTGGTGCTCTCTGAGCTTGATAGTTTTCTTGCAGACATTTCATTACCGAACTAAGCAACAGCATCAGTGCACTGATGAAGTTACCTAATGAAACGCCTGCAAGAAAACCATTAACTCAGAGAGCACCAAGGACCCCCCTCAATTCAACATTTGAGCTACAAATATCTCCTATCAGATAAAAATATACTTGGGATCTGCTGGTGATAGTCTATCCCTGGGTTTTCCTAGATGGAAATCAAAGTCCAATGTTGGTTATTTTTCTTTTCTTTTCTTTTCTTTTGTTGTTGTTGTTAAATCAAGCAAAATCGATGGGTGCTGCCACCCATCTTGGTACATTTTTTAAAAAGTGGTTATTATTGCATCCTCAGTGGCTAAGACGCTGAGCTTATCGATCGAAAGGTCGGCAGTTCAGCGGTTCGAATCCCTAGTGCTGCGTAACGGGGTGAGCTCCCATTCCTTGTCCCAGCTTCTGCCAACCTAACAGTTCGAAAGCATGTAAAAAAAAAAAAATGCAAGTAGAAAAATAGGGACCACCTTTGGTGGGAAGGTAAGAGAGTTCCGTGCGCCTTTGGCGTTGAGTCATGCCGGCCACATGACCACGGAGACGTCTTCAGCCAGCGCTGGCTCTTCGGCTTTGAAACGGAGATGAGCACCGCCCCCTAGAGTCGGGAACGACTAGCACCTATGTGCGAGGGGAACTTTTACCTTTACATGTAAATATTGACTTCTAACGAGATGGGTAATGGGGTGACAGGGCTTCTCACCATTGATAAGAATTTAGAATTTGTGGCAAGAACTTTTTTTTTTTGTCTCTCAAAACCCGTCTTGAATTTTTTTAAGAGATAGAAGGCAGAACTTCATTCAAACAAGAGAGAGCGATCCTGTCAAATTGGCTGTTAATAATGTTAGCTCTCATTCTCCTCTGCCCAGATGTTAGGGTTTTTGGGGTTTTTTTAAATGCAGTGCAGAAGCGTAGAGGGATGGCTTTGACTGAAATCCTTTTCTGTTGCCTACCTTCACACCCATCTGTGTCGTACCAGGTTACTTCTTACTCCATATGTTGCAAAGAATGAGAACAGCAGGATGGCTTGTGACCCGGAAGATTTTGTCTCTCCTTTGGCTGGCTGTTGTGACCCCAGGTTACTCCTGTGTGCGTGTGTGGGTGGATGCGCACGCAAGCTTTTTGCATGAAAATATAGCCTACCTTTGGATTCTGGTGTTTTGCAGGAGATGTGAACTACTGATTAACTTAAGCTCACCGACTTTGGCACAGCTTCAAACAGTGCATTTCCTATGCGGACAGCCAGCTGCCTCCATTGGGTGCTGTCAGGACACACCTGGTTGGTTGGGACAAGGTGGAGGGAGAGACAGAGAAAGATGCCCTTCAGGTGGGCAGAAGGGATTTGAATAGAACACCTTTTGAAGAGAGCTACTTGGTGATCTCAGGGGCTGCCCCAAAGAAGAGGGAGTCAAGCTATTCTCCAAAGCACCTGAGGGCAGGACAAGAAGCAATGGGTGGAAACTAATCAAGGAGAGAAGCAACTTAGAACTAAGGAGAAATTTCCTGAAGTGAGAACAATTAACCAGTGGAACAACTTGCCTCTAGAAGTTGTGAATGCTCCAACACTGGAAGTTTTTAAGAAGATGTTGGATAACCATTTGTCTGAAGTGGTGTAGGGTTTCCTGCCTGGGCAAGGGGTTGGACTAGAAGACCTCCAAGGCCCCTTCCAACTCTGTTATTCTAAATTCTTGTTGGAAGGGGCTCTATCCCTGGTGTCATGTTCTACCTCTTTCTCTCTGGATCTTTCTGGGTTGCGCTTAATTCCCAGAAGAGAATCGCAGACTCATTAGAACGATGGCATGGGAAGAAGACCGAATACAGCATCCTAGGGCTGCAAAGGACCTCAAGAGGTCTTCTAGTCCAACCCCCTGCTCGAGGCAGGAGACATTATACCATCCTGATCAAATGATCGTCCAATCTTTTTCTTGAAAACCCTCAGCGATGGGAGCACCCACGAGGTGGGCAAACGGTTCCATCGATCCATCGTTTTCATGATTCCTTTAACAACTGCAGTGATATGCTTAACCCTGGAGTGGGGATGGGTAGAAATCAGGCGCGACCGACTTCAACCACCTTTCTTAGCAACGGTCGGAAGTCAAGGACATGCCTGCAATAGAAAAACTATACGGAGACCGCTGCAGTTTTCTCATTTTCCCTCCACGTGTGTCAGTGTGTAGGAAATGCATCTTGTTTTAAGCGGCTTTTCTGTCCTTGCTTGCTTGATAACTGAAAAACAAAAATTGTCCTAATTAACAACGGATCGTGTCTTATAACAAATCTGTGTGCGCTTCCCGTATTCCCAAATGGAGAGCAGATGCTCGCTGCCAACGATTTGGAGAGTGGCTGTATTAATTCTGCAAAAGGTTAGGCGATCGGACTTCTCCTTCCAGCATGACCTTCCGTCCGACAGGTTCTACTTGCGAATGCAACAACCTGAACTATTCATTTTTAAAATGACTAAATTCATGTTTAAAACCGGATTCCGCGCTGCATGGCTTCGTATATCTGTGTCGGGAGTGTTCCTGAGCCACTAATGCAGAAAATCAGCATCAACGTGCTATGAATTGGTGTTTGTTTGTTTTTTCTTACAGTTGCACGTATATCGTCACTTACAAAAAAATGTTCCTTCCCTCTGGAAACTTCTGTCATCTAATAACCTTTCTTTAACCCTCCTCTTTCTTTCTTTCTTTCTCCTCCCGAGCCAGTTGTTTTCAAAGTGTATCTCGGGGAAGCCTAGTGGGCCACCCACCATCATAGACCATTAGCCTGCAGAATGGGTTGGTCATTCTGGTTGGTCATTCTGGTTGGTTCCAAATGAACCTGGATGGCAGTGAGACCTAGTGGAGCCAGCTGATATCTTTGTGCCCTTAACACGTCTCGGTTTTATGCTTAGCCAGCTTGATCTAGTGGTTAAGTCATCAGACTAGAAACCTCAGCTGGTTTTCATAGCTAAGGTGGAACTAGAAACCGGGAATTCTAGTTCCACCTTAGCTATGAAAACCAGCTGGGCCAATCACAAGTAAATGGTGACTTCTAGTCCCGCCTTAGCCATGAAAGCCGGCTGGGTGACTGGGCCAATCACCAGGAGACAGTGAGTTCTAGTCCCGCCTTAGCCATGAAAGCCGACTGGGTGACTGAGCCAATCACCAGGAGACTGTGAGTTGTAGTCCCACCTTAGCCATGAAAGCCGGCTGGGTGACTGGGCCAATCACCAGGAGACTGTGAGTTCTAGTCCCGCCTTAGCCATGAAAGCCAACTGAATGACTCTGGGCCAATCACTAGGAGACTGTGAGTTCTAGTCCCGCCTTAGCCATGAAAGCCAACTGAGTGACTCTGGGCCAATCACTAGGAGACTGTGAGTTCTAGTCCCGCCTTAGCCATGAAAGCCAACTGAGTGACTCTGGCCAATCACTAGGAGACTGTGAGTTCTAGTCCCGCCTTAGCCATGAAAGCCAACTGAGTGACTCTGGCCAATCACTAGGAGACTGTGAGTTCTAGTCCCGCCTTAGCCATGAAAGCCAACTGAGTGACTCTGGGCCAATCACCAGGAGACTGTGAGTTCTAGTCCCGCCTTAGCCATGAAAGCCAGCTGGGACTCTGGGCCAATCACTAGGAGACTGTGAGTTCTAGTCCCGCCTTAGCCATGAAAGCAACTGAGTGACTCTGGGCCAATCACTAGGAGACTGTGAGTTCTAGTCCCGCCTTAGCCATGAAAGCCGGCTGGGTGACTGGCCAATCATCAGGAACTGTGAGTTCTAGTCCCGCCTTAGCCATGAAAGCCGGCTGGGTGACCTTGGGCCAATCACGCACACTCAGCCTAATTTGCCTCCCAGAGTGGTTATTGTAGGGAAAATAAATGGAAGTATATATATTATATATATTTACCACCTTGGAGTTATTGGTAAAAATAATAAAGGCAGGAAAGAAATGACTAAAATCATCCGGCAAAGGAATGATGAAACAGTCATGACATCACAATGCAAAGCCTACGACTTGCATACCTGAGTCCAATTTTAGAACCTCAAGAACATCAAAGCAGCGTTTCCATGGCGATGGCTTCACACCTGGCTCACTATTTTTCCATCTTCATAGCCGTTTATGGATGCATCGGTGCCCAGATTTTGCTGCGGCGCCTAATGGCTCCTGGGCAGCGTTGGGGTTGATCAAGAAAAGTTTCCCCGAGGATCCAAAAAAAAAAAAATTGAAAACAACTGCGCTGAATGACCCTTGACATTTCTCACTCATCTTGGATTTCTCCTCCAATTTAGGGAAAGCGGCCACAGGGGCATTCTGGTGGCTCGGCACTGGATGGTATCAGCTCGCGACCCTAATTTCTCTGCTGAATGTTTTTCTCCTTACAAGGTCTGTAAGCATTTCGTACGGCACGGGGGTCTCAGGCGCTGGATTTTTTAAAAACGGTTCATTGCAGGCTGTGCAAGGTGCTTCTAATCCAGGGGTGAAATGTAAAATTTGTTACTACCGGTTCTGTGGGTGTGGCTTGGTGGTGGGGGTGGGGGTAATGTGACTGGGTGGGCGTGGCCAACTTTTTTTTTTTTTTAACTTTTAAAAGCATTTTTTCTACAATCTCTTCCGCCGAAGAGGTTGTAAAAAAAATGCTTTGAAAAGCCTCTGACAATCAGGCAACTCAGCTGGGATCGTCAGAGACTTTTCAAAGCATTTTTTTAAACCACCTCTTCGGCCAACAGGTTGCAGAAAAAAATGCTTTGAAAAACCTCTGACTGAGGTTTTTCCCAGCTGAGCCGCGCGATCATCAGAGGCTTTTTTTTTTTTTTTAAAGCATTTTTTTCGTCGGAAGAAGTTGTAGAAAAAAATGCTTTTAAAAGTAAAAAAAAGAAAACGCCTCTGATGATCGTGCAACTCAGCTGAGCATGGTGGGGCAGGCGCAGGGATTTTTGCTACCGGTTCTCCGAACCACCCGCTGCCATCGCTACCGGTTCGGGCGATCCGGTCCGAACCGGGAGCATTTCACCCCTGTTCTAATCGTACAGCTAATCGTGATGAGAACCTGCTTCAGTGGGGTTTGAGGGGTAGGCTTCACCATTCATTTCTGGGGGAGCTCCATTGAGCAGCCCTGGGAAGTTTTGGGAAGGACCACTGACTTGACTGTTATTTATTAAGCCACTGTACGTAAAATGTAAGGCGATTAATGGTCAGGGGTGGACAATTTTACACTGCAGTCCTTGCCTTTTGTTTTCCAGATGTCTTCCAAAGATGTTCAGATTGCTGCTGTTCTTTCTCCCCCTGCTTTTACTGCTTGGTGAGTAAACAGGTATTGAGAAAAAGACTCTTTAATATCTTACCTGTGAGGATAATCTAGGTCTAGGGCTGTGTTCCATCTGCCCCCCCACAACTCTTGCAGTATAGGTAGTCTTAGACTGAGTTTTGAAGGGACACGGTGGTGCGGTGGCTAAGACGCTGAGCTTGTCGATCAAAAAGTTGGCAGCTCAGCGGTTCGAATCCCTAGTGCCGCGTAACAGGGTGAGCTCCCGTGTCTTGTCGCAGCTTCTGCCAACCTAGCAGTTCGAAAGCCCGTAAAAAACGCAAGTAGAAAAATAGGGACCACCTTTAGTGGGAGGTTAACAGCATTCCGTGCGCCTTTGGCATTTAGTCATGCTGGCCACATGACCACGGAGACGTCTGCGGACAGCGCTGGCTCTTCGGCTTTGAAACGGAGATGAGCACCGCCCCCTAGAGTCGGGAAATGACTAGCACATATGTGCGAGGGGAACCTTTACCTTTTAGACTGAGTTTACTCAAACATTCATGAATGTTTCCTCTTAACCGCATTTTTTTGCTTCAGGTTTATGGTGCTGGGGTTCCGAAGATTTCCTTTCATTGTTACCAGCTTTGAACTGGACAAGCTTACTCAGAATGTCCAGGTGGGAAGACTCTGTAAAGAGAGTTGCACCTGAACCTCATTCAGGCCCCCCTGGTCAGTTTCCAGAGGTAAGCTAGGCCAACCCTGACGTCCAACTTTGATTCTCAAAGAGATGTAATGTCTTAAGAGGTTTAGGGAAATTACAGTGTTGCTAGAGGGGTTTTTTTTGAGTCCATCATAACTTCAAACATGGGCAAGGATATTTTACTTTGGTTCAAAGAGATTGAGTTTCTGTTTCTGGATAGCTATTTTAAGGTTCTGTTGTTAACCTCTCAATGCTGAGGGATGGGGCGATATAAACACTGTGTAGATAAATACCGTATTTTTCGGAATATAAGACACACCAAAGCATAAGACGCACCTTAGTTTTTGGGGAGGAAAATAGAGGGGGGGGGGAAATCTGCCTACCAGGTATTCATCTGGCTAGTCCTTAGCCTGGTCAGCTTCAGCACATTAGTTCGCTCACTGGTTTTAAGGTTGGGGCTGGTAACCATGGGGCTAAAAAACAGCTTCTAAAGCACAGCTGATCATCGGAGGGAGCAGCAATTAGAAAAGCAGGCAAAGCATGGAAGATCGCTTGGGGCTGAAAAACAGCTTCAAAAGCACAGCTGATCCTTGGAGGGAGCTCCAGTGACTAAAGCAGGTGAAGCGCGGAAGGGGTAAGAGAAGGCAGTAGCTATTCCAGGTAGCCATTATGGGCACCACGCAGGGTTACATTCAGAGTATAAGATGCACCCAAATTTTCAGCCTCTTTTAGGAGGGGGGGGAAAAGTGTGTCTTATACTCCGAAAAATACGGTAAATACCCAAATAAACTTAAGAGGCCAGAATTGGGCCATAGATTTTGGCTAGAAAAGCTTTGGATCTTATTTTTCCACTTATTTTGGATTTCCATCTTAGTTTGGATTTCCAGAATCTGGAATTATCTTCAAGAAAACTATCGTTGCCTGTTTTTTAGGTGGTGGAGGAGTCTGATTTTATATCAGCAAACTTTGTCTAAAGTTAATTGGGATTTGTCGCTGCTTTTAATCTGTTTTGGTTTCATTTGAATACTTCATTCAAGGGACACTTTATTTTCTGGTGAAATGATTATATTAATGTGAGTTTATTTATGGCCAGAGGCAGTGAAAATAAATAAGCCTTTTTTTATTATTTAAAAAAAAAAAAAACCACCAATCTAGGTGACTATGAAGTTCTTTGATGCAGATCGTGTAAGTGAGCTGGAGAAACAAATGGCCCAGTTATCTGAGAGGTGGCGTCACCAGGATGAAGAATACAATAAAATGCTACTTCTGGTCCAAAGCTTTCAGGAACAAGTCACCCAAATGAACGACCGAAGTGAAATGTTGGTACTCGTCAAAAACATTGTGAGCCAGCATCTTACAAAGGCCAAATCAGATGGAACGGCACACTCAGAGGTAGACTCATGCGGAATAATTCTCTGTGCCAATTTTAATGAAAATATTATAAACTTATGAAATAGCGTGCCCGCTGGAGGAAGACGTTTTTGAGGGCAAAATTAGAATTTGCATGAGCTGAGAAACTCATCCGTTTTTGCACTGTAAAGCAGTAGTTTAGTAAATTATAGTTGTTTGCACTCAGTTAACTTAATTATTCAACCAGATGAAATATACAAATGTATAAAGTTGCCAGATTCAACATAGATCCTAATCAAGAACAAAAAGTACTTTTCACAGGTGAATTTTTGAAGTGATGTTCCTTTGACCTAAAGGGATCGTTGCCTTTCTATTTATAGAGGTTCAAGGTGAAAAAAGTTTAAAGATAGCTATTTTTGTTTGTATGCTTAACTGTCTGTGCAGCATTTAAATACGCAAAGAATCCTCAGTGTTTTCGTGATAAAAGCGCTATATTTTCATTATAAGAGTACTTTTTAAACAAAAATATCATTCTGTTTTGTCTTTCAAGCATTTTTTGACTTTGCATCAAGAGCACGAATGGCGCCTTGCAACTTTAGAAAGTCTTCTGGCAAAACTCTCGGAAAAATCAGAGGTAACAGTAAACATTTTTTTTTCCTGTAATAATTCTAAGAATTTGATCACCCTGTATCCCTTGTTACTATCCCAAAAGCATTAAATTGCAGTTCCATCTGTGCTCCGGGCAGGAACGCTAAGCCTTGTCTTCTCAAATAGATGACTATTTGCTGATTCCCCATCAGCCTCTTTCTGCAATGCAGAAAGTTTCTGGGGTCTCTCTTCAAACATTCCAAGTACGGTGGAGCGATTTATTCAGAAAACTAATATTATGTTATTTTCCAGGGTCTCCAGAAAGAATTCGAATTAACCAAAGCAAAAACAATGAGGTACGGCTGCAACCTGTATATTGAATTGGGTACCATTAAATATTACAAAACTTTCTATAAAGTTGATAGTATTTCTTCTTTTTTAAAAAAAATAAAGAATGGGGGAGGATTTTTATAGGGATAATCAATAGTATGTTGGGATGGATGGACGGACAGAGGTACATAGTACAGATACAAATACAGTGGGTGCTTCAACAGTGGAGGTTTTTAACAAGAGATTGGACAACCATTTGTCTAAAATGGTAGAGGGCCTCCTGCTTGAAAAGGGGGTTGGACTAGAAGACCTCCAAGGTCCCTTCCAACTCGGTTATTCTGTTAGACAGAAGAGCGAGAGAGATGATAGATAGATAAAGAGACAGGCAGAAAATAGATGATAGAAGAGATAGACAAACTAGATAGATAGACGATAGAAGAACAGGTACAGACAGATGATATATAGACAGACAGATGCAGACATGACATAGACAGATTTCCCAATTTTATAACATATGCACCCTCCATTTGCTATTTAAGGTAACAATGCTCCCTTTGTTTTACTCCAGTGTAAAAACATAGATCCTCCTGTCGCCACTTTAACCGGCAGAGTTTGACACCTGTCACTCTTTTTTCTGCTTCTCAGTGACATGGATGAGCACAGCCAGAGCCTTCTGTCCAAGATGAAGCACCTAGAAGTTGAACTGGCGCGTCTAAAGACAGAGTTGCTGAGTTTACAGGATGTGAAAAGCTGCTGCAACACGATAGACGCCCTTCACCAAAAGGTGCGCTCAGGAGGGAACGCCTGAGCAAGCCTGAATTAGCACGCCTTGTTCTGACAGCATGTTCTGGATGGGTTAAGTTTTGAAAACCACTGACCTGAGAAGGAAGAATTGATTGCTCGACTTGTTTCAACATTACCCACTTTTAATTAACCACTGGAATGTTCGCGTTCCATCGGTTAGCTGGCACATAGCCAAAATAAAGATGCATCAGCTAATTGCGCCTTTATTTTGAAATCCGTCATTAAGTTGTCATGTTTTGTTTTGTTTTCTTTCTTTTTTTTACTTCTAGGTTGATGCCCAGATTAAAGAATCAATCAGGGTTATGTTTTCAGGCGATCTGAAAGGCGATTTCCCAGAATCCATGCTTCAGTGGCTAACTTCCAGATTTGTGACCAAAACGGACCTACAGGTTTTGTTGCGAGATCTGGAGATGCAAATTCTCAGGAACATCACTCTCCAGAGGTCGATCGCAAATTCCAGGGTGACCACAGAGATAGTGACAAATGCTGTCAACGAAGCTGGGATTGTAGGCATCACGGAAGCGGTAAGCCACAGTGGAAAGGTATTCCATGCTGTTGATTTAGCACAAGGGGTGTCAAATTTGCGTCATCACGGCAGTGTCACGTGTCATATCGCAACATGTTTCCTCTTTGCTTAAACCGGGCGTGGTCGTGGCCAGCGTGTGACACATCCGGGCCGCGAGTTTGACCAGCCCTGATTTAGCATCTTGGGTTTCACTCCTGTGGGGCAAAAGATCAATATAATTTGAAATATAACTAACTATAAGCTGACACATGTAGAAGTTATAAAATGTATATTAAAGGTGAACAATTGTATAACATAGTAAAAGGTTTTATGTATTTAGATGTATAAATACAGGAATTACATAAATGTATAATACAGAAGGATGTAAATGGAAAATATGTAATTAGAGTTAATACCGATAACTGAATGCTGTGAAGATGGAAATGTGATTTTAAAACTAAAAAAGTTGAATAAAGATTATTTAAATAATAATAATAATAAATATAAGCTGACAAATCCCAGAAATGAGGGGTTTTTACAGGACAAGGATGGAAAGTGGCTGAATTCTTTTTGGCAGGCCCACTAGAATATGGAATGCCATTTCTTTTATCTTGGCTTAATTTAGAGAAATTGGAGAGCCACGCTTGGCGATAGGATAAAACACAATTATACATTTCATTTTTTAAAAAAATAACAACTGATACAAGTGTTTTCCATCATATAATTGATATATAATTGGCAACAATCAGCTAGTGTTAAGATATTGCAACAAGGCAGATATGTCCCTATTCAGAAGTAACTCACATTGCATTCTTTGGGGAAGAGAAGAGAAGAGAAGAGAAGAGAAGAGAAGAGAGAATTCTTTATTGGCCAAGTGTGATTGGACACACAAGGAATTAGTCTTGTTTAGGGATGAGATGAAGCAGCCATTATCTCAGCTAATGAAAAGCCATCTAGATCTTAAGCACCATTGCACTGACTCCAGATCTCTCTTAGATGCTGCAGAGCAGAGGCTGAGATTTAGAGCGGCGTGTAAGGATGTTCTTTTGAGATCTTCTGAGCTAGCGAGAGAGAGTGTTCATATTTCTAAATGTCTGTGGAGATTCTCAGTCATGCAGGTCATGGTTGTCCCAAAAGTGCTTTTTTTGAATCAGAAAGTCCAGTCACCTCTTGAAAAAACACCTTTGGGAGGTTCAGATTTGCTGGGTTCTCTCTACGTCCCCCTTTAAAAGCAGGTTAAGACGGTACAGATGATGTTTTCTGTAGCAAAAGGAATTCTCTGGTCACTGGTGATTTATTGAAATGCTGACCAGGAATCTCTGTCCATCTCTCTCCCTTCGCAGCAAGCACAGGTCATTGTCAACAACGCCCTGAGACTCTACTCCCAAGACAAAACAGGCATCGTGGATTTTGCTTTGGAATCCGGAGGTAAGGGATCAAGAGTTAGGAAGATTTATTTCGGTTCTTTTTTTAATAACTTAAGTGGGGGGTTGTTGTTTTTTTAAATAAATATCTCAAATCAATGCGTGAACAGTGTGGCATCTGCGTGTCATACATTCTAATGCAAATAAAACTAATCATAATTATTACATGCTATCAGCTTATGTATTTTTAATAATAATACACATTTATATGATGTTACAGCCTATCATTGTTCAGTCATTCCACATTTTCTCTTGTTGTTGCTTTCATTTTGCTATATAAAAATGTATACACTAAAATTCCCCCTTCTCTTATTTCTATCACTTATTCTAGCTTTTAATCATGTCACCCTTTATTAAACGGCTTTAATAAATGTGTGTGTCTTTTTACATATCAGTTTCATTCCTCTTACTTTCTACTTTCTACATTCCCCATTTTTCTCATTCTTTATTGTCTTTATCTTTATCGTCCCTTTATTTCTAGTTTGATTCATTTACAATATTTTACACATTTATCACATCATTTATTCCCCTTTTACCTTCCCTAATCTTTAGCCAATCATTCCACTTATTCCATAATTGATAATATTCTGTCCAGTCTCTTCTTAAGCCAAGAACAAGAGTCTTGTTTTTTAAAGCTGCTGCGATGAACGAAGCTAAAAGATTTCCCCTCTCTCTTGTGTTTCTTCGAGGTGGCAGCATTTTGAGCACTCGCTGTTCAGAGACCTACGAAACCAAAACGGCGCTGCTGAGCCTCTTTGGAATTCCCTTGTGGTATTTCTCCCAATCGCCCCGCGTAGTGATCCAGGTAACTAGGATAGGGAGGGTTTGTAGAGCCCTTTCTACAGACACTCCTCGATTTACAACAGTTTCAAGTTACAACGGTACTGAAAAAAGCTTACGATCACTTTTCAGTTACGACAGTTGCAACTTATGACCGTTATCACTTACCGTTGCACTGTCCCCACAGTCACATGATCAAAATTCAGACGCTTGACAACTGACTCATATTTATGACGGTTGCAAGTCTCCAGGGGGGCGTGTTTTCCCTTTTTTTTTTTTTTAATTTGATTTATATGCCGCCCTTCTCCGGAGACTCAGGGCGGCTTACAATGCGCTAAGCAGTAGCCTTCATCCTTTTTGTATATTTATACAAAGTCAGCTTATTGCCCCCACAAACTGGGTCCTCATTTTGCCTACCTTAGAAAGGATAGAAGGCTGAGTCAACCTTTTGCAACCTTCTGACAAGGAAAGTCAATGGGGAAGCCTGATTCCCTTAACAATTTTCAGTGATTCACTTCAACAACTGTGGCAAGACAGGTCATAAGGTGGGGCAAAAATTAACAAATGTCTCGCTTAGCAACAGGCTCAATTGTGGTCGTAAGTCAACGACTATGTATACAAGTAGTCCTCAGACTCACTGCCTCTTAAACCTAGCCTGTGGCCTAAACCACTACCCCAAACTGGTGTTCTCAATTGTTTCCAGTATTATGTTTGTTTGTTTGTTTATTTATTTGCAACTTCTGGTTCTTCTCCACAGCCTGACATGTACCCTGGAAACTGCTGGGCTTTCAAAGGATCACAGGGTTACCTGGTGATCAGGCTTTCGATGATGATTTATCCAACATCTTTCTGCCTGGAACACATCCCAAGATCGCTTTCACCCACAGGCAATATTACCAGCGCCCCGAAGGATTTCTTAGTCTACGTAAGTGGCGTGCCGTCTGCAAAATGAAAGGGGTATTGTCTTAGGGTTCAACTAAAGTTGCTTCAGGGTTTCTAGTAAAGATTAAAGGATTTCTAATACCTTAGGATTTTTTAATACATAATTAAAAAATAAAAACTTTCCCATGGTAGGTCAGTCTTTAGTTATCTTATTTTTCGGAGCATGACGCACCTTTTTCCCCATTAAAAGAGGCTGAAAATTTGGGTGTGTCTTATATTCTGAATGTAGCTTTTTCAAAGGCACCTCAAATGCCTTTCAGCCTTACTCTTTAGAAGGCCAGATCCTGAAGATGAAACTCAAATACTTTAGTTACCTGATGAGAAAGAAGGACTCCCTGGAGAAGAGCCTAATGCTGGGAAAGATTGAGGGCAAAAGAAGAAGGGGACGGCAGAGAACGAGGTGGCTGGATGGGGTCACTGAAGCAGTCGGTGTGAGATTAAATGGACTCCAGAGGATGGTAGAGGACAGGGAGGCCTGGAGGAACGTCGTCCATGGGGTCGCTATGGGTCGGACACGACTTCACAACTAACAACAACAACTACTACTACTTTATTGTTCTATGCCTATTTCATAGGAATCTTCTCAGACTGGCAGCCTTCACTGGGAAAAGACTAGACAGTCAGGGTTGATCTCCTCTAGGACCGACCGGTTTGATCGCCTTGCAGTCCAAGAGACTCGCAGGAGTCTTCTCCAGCACCAGAGTCCAAAGGTCTCCATTCTTTGGCACTCAGCCTTCCTTATGGTCCAACTTTCACAGCCATCCATTGCAACTGGGAAAACCATCGCCTTGACTATACGCACTTTTGTTGGCAGGGTGATGTCTCTGCTTTTTAGTATGCTGTCTAGATTTGCCATAGCTTTCCTCCCCAGGAGCAAGCCTCTTTTAATTTCTTGGCTGTAGTCCCCATCTGCGGTGATCTTGGAGCCCAGGAAAATAAAATCTGTCACTACCTCCATTTCTTCCCCATCTGTTTGCCAGGATTTAAGAGGGCCGGATGCCCTCTTTTCTTAATGTCGAGTTTCAAAGAACAATAAAGTAGCTAGTTTGAACTCTAGAGGGGTGGAAGTGAGTGTTCACCTGAGATCAGGGATGCAAAAGAATATGAAAGGTTTAAGGGCTGTATTAGTGAGATGGGCAGCAGAGACTATTTAATAAATAAAAGTAAATAAATAATCATCTTTTTTGAAGGCCAGCGAGTCTGAAAATTAAAGTTGATCTGCTTTATCTTCTTTATCAAGAATTCAGAGCTATACAAACCATTTGTGTTGACAGGGTCTTGAAAATGAATATCAAGAAGAGGGAATACTTCTGGGCCAGTATACATACGATCAGGATGGAGAACCATTACAGATGTTTCCGGTCTCGGTAGGCCAACATTTCAGAAGAATAAACTTTTTTTTTTTTTATGCTTTGCATAAAAAACGCCTAGCATGAAAATAGTACATGTTCATCCTTGACTTAAAAAATTCATTTAGTGACCGTTCGAAGTTACAACAGCACTAGAAAAAAAATGACTCACGACCCTTTTTCACACTTAACGACCACTGCAGCATCCCCGTTGGTCACATGATCAAAATTCGGATTCTTGGCAACTGGCTCATATTTATGACGGTGTCCCAGAGTCATGTGATTCTCCTTTTGTGACCTTCCAAGAGTCAAGAGTCTCTTAGCAACTGCAATGATTCACTTAACCATGGCAAGACCGGTCGTCAAATGGGGCAAAACTCACTTAACAATTGTCTCATTTAGCAACAGAAATTTTGGGGTCGATTGTGGTCGTAAATCAGGACTCCCTGTAATGGATTCTAATACCATTTTATTTTTTTCCTTCTTTTAGGAGACAACTGATAAAGCATTCCAAATAGTGGAACTAAGAATATTTTCCAATTGGGGTCATGCAGAATATACGTGCCTCTATCGCTTCAGAGTGCACGGGCAAACTGCTGAATGAACACTACGCTTATTTTCCTACACTGGTTATACATCATTTCTGTTTTTAAGTTTATAAAGGGAAATTTTGAACACTGGAATCTTTAAAAAGATGAAGATGTGTAATGTCCAACAGGTTGTGTTACTCTTTCCTGGCTAAACGTAGAAGATTGCCAACAAAATTGTATCCCAAACCTAATGGTTATTTGCTCAAGATGCTCAGCTTGTAACTGCCAGACAGCTTTATGTTTTTAATGTGTTCTTTCCGAAGGGGGGGAAAAAAACCCCGCATGCCAACTGCTCTCATTCCTAAGCCCAATTAGCAAATCACTAACCCCTCTTTTAATAAATCAGAAGATAAACCTTTTAAATTTTTCCTTTTGACCGTTAGGAATCTGGTATTTTTATTTTTATTTTTATTTTTTTAAAAATATTGGGACTCTCCTCTGCACCTGGATGTGATTAAGATAACAAGGACTGTTGGTGAAATTTAGCATGTTCTGTTGTTTATGCAGTTCCCAATCAGATGAAGGTTTGTTTGCAATTCCAGCACAAGCTTTGAAACTAAGGTCTATTACCACTGCTCAGAGTGTTGCTTGACAAAACTGCTTCATCCTTGAAGCTACTTCATCACTTCCAGTCATTTCCGTGCAACATTTAATTCTTAGGTTGAAGTTTCTGATTTCAACTGAAGTTTGCTTTTATATCCATCTTCCAGGTTTAGAATGCTTTCCCTTAAATATATATTAGTAAACAAAAAAAACATCCTTTATTTTAACATCCAAATGAATATCAGTAGTGATTGTTTTAACGTAGAAAGGGCTTGAGTCTAATTTGATGGGTTCTAGTAAGAAATAGGGATGGAGTGTGAATTGGTAAGTTGCCTCGTGTGCCGAAGGCAAAATATCTCCCATGTGTTAGCAGCGAGGGAAACAGGTGGATTAAGGACTTTGTTACATGGAGAATGGTTTGGATGGAATTGAATTAGACAGATCCAGAATAGTAGTTGGCTACCATGTGATGGGAGATAATGAAAAGGAAATGTAGAGATGGAGTCAGGCGTAGAAGATTAAAGTAGGAACACTAAACGTCAAAAGAAAGCAGTTTGCCAGTAAAATTCAGGCCTGGAGCTTATTCGCACGTTGGGTTTTGTGCAGTTTACTCTTCTCAGAGTTCTCTTTGGGATTGCTGCTAATCTCTGAAAATTCAGGGGAAGCTTCACAAGGCCGAATATATGGGAAACCACAAAAGGCACTGTTTTGAATCGGTTCTCCAAAAAAAGGATCTATTTACTTTTTTTTTTTTAAAGCATGCATATGCACATGATAAAAATGGGCTATCAAATTCAAGATGGCACCTGGAGCAATTATTAGATTCTATGGGGAATTTCCCTTAAAGTCATTGTTCAGAATCCCTGGCAATTCAGCTTCCTTTTTTAAAATTTAATTTTGAAATGTTGTCAGGATCTGGCTCAAAAAGCTTTTTTTTTTTTCCTATGAAAATGGTACTTTCCTGGGATTTTGGAAGGTAAACTCTGATTTCAGAAAAAAGACATGCTGATATTTTTTTTTATTTTTTCATATGTTGCACAAGAGTCCTGAGATATTTATAAAAGCAAGTTTTATTCTTGAATACCACTTGTTCTGCTGCATTTAGCTTAAACTAGAACCAGTGGCTATTGAGAAAAGCTTAGTAAAACCTGTCAACAGTTTTTGATTCCAAATTATCCTGTATAAATCCAGATAGGGGAGGGCAGGGTTGGTTCGTTTGTTTTGCATAACACTAACTTATTTTTAAAAAAATGAGATAGGACTTTGTGCAATGTATTTTTGTAAATGCTTTTTCAAAATATTTGTCTCTGGTATCCTTTGCTGCCTCCTAACTGACCAGAAGCTATTGAAAAAAGTTTAAGAATTTTAATTTTTGAAAGTGCATGTAATATTTGGAAATAAGAATAAAGTTTCCTTTTGGATATTTATACTGAATGCTTCTCATAATGTACGTGGTTGGGGAGGGATCAAACTCCTTAAAAGGATTAGCAAATACAGGGAGCGGGCAAAACCTACAATAGAACCCTTATTTCTGTTATACAGAAATCTACATGAAAAGAATGCGGGTAAGGGAACTTTGTCAAAATATTCAAGTGTAACAGTACATCCTTTATTCCTGATTTCCATATGGTTAGCATCTTCAAAAAAGAGAACAGTGTGGACGACATTCAAAGCGGATATTTCAGTAATGCCTGTCCTGATTTTAAAATGACAAGTCAGAACTATTACCCAAGGAAAGATTGTTTTTCCTTAAAAACAAGGTAGAAATAAAAAAGATCCTTGACAATATGCATATGGGTGCAAATCAATCAGAATAAAGCACCCCTCTCTCTCTCTGGGAAACAAACCTTTAGAAGTCATAAGTCCCTAAATCTGTCAGTCACAACTAATAAGACTGGGACAGGTTTACTGGGGCATCCTTGGCTGCCTGCCTTCTTCCGTCCTTGCGCAAGAGTATGAAGCATCTCTTGGTTTGCTTTCAACAGTTGCCGTAAGTAGGTCTCGTCTCCGTGATTTGGTGTGGTTAAACTCGCTTGACTAGAGGCAACTCCCACAGGCAAAGCCTCACTTGGAACACCCAGACTGGTTGGGGTTGAAACGCGACGTGGGTGTGTGCCCTTGCAGCGCTCTCTTTCCTAAAGCCCCTAGACAGACTTTGGAGGACCACATCTGTGGGATCTGGAAAGATGGTGGGCTTGTCCTCTTTTTTTTTTTCCACCTTCAACCTTTGTTCCAGAAGAAATTTTAATAGAATAGAATAGAACAGAACAGAACAGAACAGAACAGAACAGAACAGAACAGAATAGAATAGAATAGAATAGAAAATATGGAATGGAATGGAATGGAATAGAAAATATGGAATAGAATAGAATAGAAAATATGGAATGGAATGGAATGGAATAGAATAGAAAATATGGAATAGAATAGAATAGAATAGAATAGAATAGAATAGAAAATATGGAATGGAATGGAATGGAATAGAATAGAAAATATGGAATAGGATAGGATAGAATAGAATAGAATAGAATAGAATAGAATAGGAATAGAATTCTTTATTGGCCAAGTGTGATTGGACAACAAGGAATTTGTCTTTGGTGCATATGCTCTCAGTGTACATAAGGAGAATAAAATAGATTCATCAAGAATAAAAAGATACAAGACTTAGTGATAGTCAAGATTACTAATAAGCTATCAAATCATACTAGGAAACAAATATAATTGAAAGATACAAGCAACATGGTTATCGTCATAAGTGGGAAGAGATAGATACTAGTAAGGAAGAAAAGAATAATAGTAATACAGACTTAGTGAATAGTTTGACAGTGTTGAGGGAATTATTTGTTTAGCAGAGTGATGGCATTCAGGAAAAAACTGTCCTTGTGTCCAGTTGTTCTGGTGTGCAGTGCTCTATAGCGTCTTTTTGGGGGTAGAAGTTGAAACAATTTATGTCCAGGATGCGAGGGGTCTGCAGATATTTTCACAGCCCTCTTTTTGACTCGTGCAGTATACAAGTCCTCAATGGAAGGCAGGTTGGTAGCCATTGTTTTTCCAATTTCAATTGGGGAAGTTGGCCTTGCCCCCCCCCCCCCAAGCATCCCTCAAAACCCAACAGGGTTAAAAGCATCCCAGCTGCTGAAAGAAAACGGCCCCCAAGTCAGCTGGGTCGGCTTTGCAAAGAGGTGGCCAACCCGGCCCGAAGGATGCTCTGGTCCAGAAGAAGCTGCATCCTTGGCGGCGTCGCCTAGGAGACGCCAGCCAGGGACCGCCTCCGCGCTGGCACGCCCGCAGGTGGAGGTCACGCGACCGCGACGTCACTCGCCTTCCCTCCCTGCGCGCGGCGCGCGGCCTCGGGTCCCTCGCCGGCCGCCGTCGCCCCATTGTTAAGTGGGCGGCGCCGGAAGCCGCCGTGCGTGCGTGCGTGCGTGCGTGCGTTACGTCGCGTGAGGTAGCTCCGGCCAGGGTCGCCTCGGCGTTTCTCTCCCCGCCCCGCAGTCATGGCGGCGGAGCAGGAGGCCTTGAAGGGCGGCGGCGGCGGCGGCGGCGGCGGCAACAGCGGCCGCAACCGGGGAGGCGTCCAGCGCGTCGAGGGGAAACTCCGCGCCAGCGTGGAGAAGGGAGACTATTACGAGGCGCACCAGATGTACCGGACTCTGTTCTTCAGGTGCGTAAAAAGGGAGAGGGCGGCCCTCCTCCTCCCTCCTTCCAGACGCTTCCATTGGCGCACCCCAGCGCCGGCCGCACGCCATTGGCTGCGCCGCTTGTCCTTCTCGGGCCCTCGAAGCCCCATTGGTCGAGGAGGAGGCGGGGGAGCGGGCACGCCGGTCTGGCCAAGGCAGGGAGGGGGGGAATGTGCTGTGTGGGGGGTGGTGGAGGAGAGGAGGAGGTTGAGGAAGGACTCCCTAGCCCATTCTCCCCTCCCATGGCCGGGCTGGGCGGGGGGGGGGGGGGGGTAAGGGGGAACCCCCCCCCCCGGGTTTGGGAAGGGGGGGGGGGGGGGGGGATGTTGGCGCAAGCGCGATGGGTGGACTTCAACTCCCAAGGGGGAATTCTGGGAGTTGAAGTCCACCCATCCTAAAAGCAGCTCCAGTGTTCTAAAGTGGGGGGGGGTGTCTCCAAACTGGGCCCCTTTAAAACTTGTGGACTTCAACTCCCAGGATTCCTCACCCAGCCATGCCTGGTGTTTTGTTTTTTTTGTTTTTTCCTCTCTCTCCTAGCCCCTAGAGTGGAGGAGAGATTGCAGAGGAAGGGATTGCAGGAGAGTAAACAGGCTACAGCGGGGAGATTGCAGAGGAAGGGATTGCAGGAGAGCAAACAGGCTACAGCGGGGAGATTGCAGAGGAAGGGATTGCAAGAGAGTAATTTGCTTTACAGTGAATAGACATATCAAAAAGGAATGCGTTAGTTCCAGGGAATTCTGGGAGTTGAAGTCCACAAGCCTTAAAAGGGCTAAGTTTTGGGACCCCTGCCCTGAAGGGACAACTGGGCCCAAACATGGAAGCATATTCTACAAACTGACATGGTCCCTAGAAGTGCAGGGGTCTCTCCAACCTTGGCTACTTTAAGGCTTGTGGAGTTGAAGTCCACAAAGCGGCCAAGGTTGGAGACCCCTGCCCTAGTGCAAACCCAACTGCATCTCGTTGGGGGAAAGGTTTGGGAGCCCTTTCCTTTTTACAAAGTGGGGGTTTGAGGTGGTTTTTTTGGGGTGCTGCAGAGGCTTGCCAGGAGATGGGCCTCTTCTAGATCTCATACAGAGAAGCCACGCCGATACAGGACTGGTACATGTGTGTGTGTGTGTGTATATATATATATTATATCTCCTTTTGGAGGAACAAATGGGTGAGTTTCAGGTTGGATTCACAGATGATGCTAGGCTGGGGGTGGGGGTGGGGCAGGTTTGAACCCAAGGAGGAATCCAGCTTGTTCACCTTGGGTGGTTTCTTGCCTTGGGTAAACCTGACCGGTTGTGCTATATTCTTAGACCTCTAATACAGCTGTGGTTGAAGCATTCATTCTCCTGTTCATCAGATTTATTATTTTACCTATTCATATCTCACCCATCTCACTATCCATAGCGACTCTGTGCAGCCTAGTCTGCTCTCTCTTTGTTTTAAGTTACAATTTCAAAGACTCTTCTGTTGACTAGTACAGTTGGGGCTGATAATGCTCAAGGCATGAACCCAAAAATCTTTTTTTTTTTTTAATTTGATTTATATGCCGCCCTTCTCCGAAGACTCAGGGCGGCTTACAATGTGCTCAGCAATAGCCTTCATCCTTTTGTATATTTATACAAAGTCAGCTTATTGCCCCCACAACTGGGTCCTCAATTTACCTACCTTAGAAAGGATGGAAGGCTGAGTCAACCTTGAGCCTTGGCGAGATTCGAACCCTGCAGTAATTGCAGGCATCTGGTCTTAATAAGCTTAATAACAGGGTGCCTTAAACCCCTGTACTACCAAGGCTCTTTTTTGAGCAGTAGTTGCATGTCCAGATCAAAGGTAGTGAGGATTGAAAAGGGGGTTAAGCTAATCCGGAGAGTACAGAAATAGGCTCGTGAAAGAACTGTTAAACTGGATGGTTTAACACCCACCCCCCCGCTGGCTGGGGGATTCTGGGAGTTGAAGTCCACCCATCTTCAAGCTACCAAGGTTCAGAAACACTGGTTTAAACAGTCCTCCGTGTTAAAGAGCAATAAACCTGAAAATAGCCACCTACCCACCCTTCCTTGTAACTAAATGAACTGCAGTAAAAATGTATGTCTTCACTTTTTACAGTAGGGCCAAAAGGTAATTTAAGAGGCTTGTTTGTGACATTTCTGTGCAAAGCTCAGATGGCACACATTCCATTCTAGATGGGTAGATATACACACAAACACACAAGTGGATTTTATGGCAAATCTTAAAAATTGCCAAATGTTTAACATCAGAAAATTGTTGTGTGCACTAGAACCTGGCTTTGGCCCTCAGTTTGTAAATATATATTTTTGCCTAAAAGCCCAGGAGAATGAAAAGTGAGGTGAAGGGGCTTTGAAAAAGAACAGAAAAGTGTAACGTCTGTGCAAAGCTTCAGCACGGATACAATAAGACCAATAATGCCCCCAACTGCAACTTTTGAGGTGTTCTTTTCTTCGTAAGAGAATTGGCTTGCTTGCTGTTCTAGAAATTTCCATGCTGCGATGCTATCTTTTAAGTCACCAAATGGTGGTGGATAGTATTAGAGAAAGAATCTAATCAAAGTACGTTTATTTATAGACCTTTTTCAAAACGAATTTGAAACAATTGTGAAACAATTTTACTATCCAAATACTATCAAAACAGTAAAATTGTTTCACCCTAGAGATGATGAGTATGCCAAAAAAAAAAAAAAGAACATAGTACCTGGTGCCACTCTAAGCGGTTTTGAAAAAGATTGCCTTTTTTCAGAAATATGA